CATCTCCAAAATCCTCTAACAACCGAGGTATCCAACCTTTCCTATAGCCATATGGGGGAGGTTCTCTTCGGGAGGAAACCAGTGAGGCCTGCCGTGATCGCTGAGATCTTGCTTTTTCTTCAGCCTCAAGCTGGTCCTGTAATAGTTGAGTAGGTGCAGGTAAAAAGCTGACGAGTGCCATCTTCTTCCGCTTCTTCCAACCAGTATCCAGTTATTAAGACTAGTTTCATTTTACATTCCTTTTATATTTTAGTTGTAGCAGGATAAGTTACAGGAATGGTGAATCTAACTCTTGATTTGATGGGAAAGTGAAAGTGAAATAGTGCGGAAAATAAAATGATGTGCTTCAAAATAACCTCAATCTGGCTAGACTATAAATCAAGCTTCCACCTTATCAACAAAGGAGTTCATATTATAACACAAGTGATGAGTTTATGTTTATAACAGCTTTGTCTCATAAAATCTCATACCAACATAACAGAACAAATGTGCCCTTCATAGCTGAAAATTGCGGAGAAAAGGAAGCAAGGGCTAGCAGGCTTTGCTCACTCCCATCTTTTTCTCAGCACAGTAATTGCCACCAACATTCTCCTGGTTGATGAAATTATGCGAGCTGGGATGACCTCACTCAGAGGGTGACTGAATTCAGATCAAAATCAGCTCTTCTGGAAACAAGAGTCAGTCCACCTTCTATCCAGTCGCCGTTGGATAGCCTGAGCCAGTCTTAAGTTTTTCAAAATAAAGTCAGTTTATATCTTTTGATCTCAACCATCTCAAAAATATTTCATCAAGGTATAAGGGACACAATAAATACTTGCTGGATAAAGGAATAATGATGGAAATAGTTTTCCTTAAGTCTGAAGTCTTCTGTATCATATGCTATTGCCGTTTTCATAAAATAAATTCTGTTATGATTCTTAGGCCTTCTAGGAAACTTTTAGTTAATCAAATATGGAGGGCAGGTTTTAGAGCACCCAAGTCAATTTGCTGTTTTTCAGAGGGTATTAATAAGACAAAAGGTTTTCTTTCTCACAAGTCCTCAAGTGACCTCTTGCTGCCACTCTTTCCCCTTAGAAATGTGGCATTTTACGAATATAGCTTTGGGTGTATTGATGTACAGTATTTGGTTATTTAGTATATAGTTTATTATATTTTACCTGGCTTGTTGGCGTATGTGAGTTTGTATGCGATCCAGAACTCTGGCTACAGTGCTAGCTCTGATAGCTCTCTCAGTGGAGAGGTAGAGATAAGTAGCATCAGTTCTAGCATATACAGATATTCCTTGTTTAATGATCTACCTGTTTAGCAAGTGCTTAGATTTATGACTGAGGCATGCTTTTTGGGGTTATGACCTTTTCTACAGTTTTTTTTTTTTTTTCCTACAGTTCTATATGTCTTGTTTATAGAGCTTCAATGACTTTTTTGGGTATAATACACCTTGTTTGTAAAGTACTGTAATTTTTGCTGATTATACTGTATATCACAGTAGTATGGTTTTATGTTCTGTCATATATTACTGTATTGTATGTAAATATTATACAAATAAAAACAAAGTCATCAAGCTGACTTTTCTTTTGACCATTTCTTTGTTCTGCATACTCTAATGTACAATGTTTGTATAGTTTGTCATTTAGTGACCAATTCATTTAAGGACTTAGTTTTAGGAATAGAACTCTGTCATTAAATGAGGTATGCTTGCAATTGTTTTGGGCTCTATAGAAGTGTTGTATATGAAGGTATAAGCATTATAGTAGTGAGTTTATTGTTTAAAACTCTGCAGTTAATTTACTCTACTCTTTGGTTAGTTTGCTTTTCATTGAAGTTAGTAAGAGATTAAAATATTGTAGGCACATCATGGAACTTTGACCTTTAGTGTATATAGAAGATTGCTTTAAATTTAATGCCTTAGTTGAAGACCTATAATTTTATAGCCTGTATTTTCTTTTTCTTTTTTTTATACTTTATTTATTTATTTTATTTTCTTTAATTTTTAAAATTTTTTTTTCAAATCAAATTGGTAGGACAGTTTCAATAATTAACACATTGCATACATTCCTCCCAGTGGTTAATTGCTGTTCAAGATGCAGACATGATATCCTATCTACAAGCACTATTAGAACAAATCACTCTATTCATTAAGAGAATGTAACTATATATCTATCCTAACCACTTTGAATACACATACACAAATAGGACATTCACCTGTATACGGTTTTTTTGTTAAGTTCCATTATTTGAATATTATAGGTGTGTAAACTCTGAAAAATATTCTAAAAGAGTCCAGTAGCCCATAATGCTATTGGGACTTCCACTTGACTGTCAATGTCAGAAATTGTTGACCTGAGTCCCCTACAGCTCAACATAACAGCATGGCTTTACTTCTTATATTTCATTTTTATACTTTTCTGCTGGATGGTTAAGACCAAGGTAAAGCAGGACCTATGCGACAAGAGTTGTAGCTTTTGGGTCTGAGAAGGTCAGTGAAATCCCCTCAGGATTTATCCTGAGATCCTGTACCTCAGATTGTAGAACCTTTGTCAGTGTCAGCCATGTGGATGAGTCACGGCCATTGCTTGGTCAGTGTGCTCTCTGTGAAAGCCTGAGAGAATGTTTTCTCTCCATGTGACTCTCCTTAGGCACACTCTACGTCATCAGTCACTTTCCTCTTTGGCCCCATAATCTCCTTGATCAGAAAATTTGGGACACTGCCGAGTTACGTGACGTTACAGTACAAGTTCTCATATGTCCTGAGTCTTAATTGACCTTGGAAGGCTAGGGCCACAATGTTGGCTTTCCTTGCAGCCCCTCTTTTTCTCTAATTTTGGTCTGCAAACTTAGGTTGTTAACCCTTCAGAAGACAAGCTTATTGTTATTACCATACAACTTATAGCCTGTATTTTCATACAATATATTGCCAACGTCTAAGTTAATAATTATGCTTCTGAATGGTCTTATATGATATTTCATCGTATACTTCAGATTATTATAGTAATTTTTAAATTTTGTATTTTAAAGAGAATAATAAAATACAATAAAAATGAGAGAAAATTTCAAAACAAAATGATAGGAAAGTAGCAATGATTATCATATTGCATATTATTATCTTCAAAAAGTTGCTCAGATTATCCGAGATAGGCATGCAAGATTGGTCAAATAGTATGCCACATCCTTTTTACCCATTCCTTGGTTGATAGGCATTTGGATTGTTTTCAAGATTTGTAATAGCTATTACAAATTGTGCTGCTGTAAACATAGGTGCACATAAATCACTGTGTTATGTTTTTCATTCTTCTGCAAAAATATCGAAAAGGGGAATAGCTAGGTCAAATGGGACATCTGATAATCTCTACACTGATTTTCATGTGGTTGTACCAGTCTATACTCCCACCAGCAATGGAGAAGCATCCTTTTGTACAGCCCCTACAGCATTTGTTATTGGTTGAGTTTTTGATGATTTTCTTTCTCAGGTGAGATAGAATCTCAGTGTTCTTGTAATTTGCATTTCTCAGTCGACCAATGATGTTGAACATTTTTTCATATATTTATTTGCCATTTGTATTTCTTCATCCGAGAAGTGTGTACTCATCTCACATGCCCACTTTTGGATTGGATCTTTGAATTTGGGGTGAATTTTTCAATTCTTTATATGTTTATATGTTCTAGATCAAAGTCTTTTGTCTGAGGGACAGCTGGCTAATTTTTCCCCCAATTTGTGGGTTTTCATTTCATTCTGATGGTGATTTCTTTTGATGCACATAAAGTTTTCAATAAGATGAGATCACAGTTGTTGATACTTTGAAGTATTTCCTCCTGCCTCAGCCTCTTGAGTGCTGGGATTACAGGCTTGCACCACTAGACCTGACTCAAAATGCATTATATTTTTGGTTGGATTTATTCCTGTGTATCTTGTTTCAGAGGCTTTTATGAATAGCTCTTTTTGTGAAAGTTAGATTTTCATTTTTATTTATTTATTAATGTATTTAGTACAGGGTGATCAGGGTCTCACTATGTAGATGGGACTTGTAGTGATTCTCCTACTTTCAGCCTCCCAAGTGCTGGGATTACAGGTACGTGCCACTACACCCCATCTCAATTGTCTCAGCACGCCCTGGGGGTGGGGCTGACACAGCCAGGGATTGAACCCTGGCCACTACACTCTGCCTAATCAGTATGAAAGTTAGATTTTGAAATAATCTATTGCTGCCCTATAATTCCTCTAAGCAGTTTTTAAAAAATTGCCTCTTATATCCTGCATCTTTTCTAAACACTCCTTAGTGTAGTAGCTTGTAGATTATTTTTGAAACATCTGAGATGTGATCAAGTTGTCTTAAGAGTAACAGTTTAAGTTTTCTTTTCCAGCCCTTGTATTATCTCTAATAATTTATTTTATTGATCTAGCTAAGCCCTTTAGTATATTATTATAGAGAAGTAATAGTATCAGCCATCTTTTATCTTGTTCTGGCCTTCAGAGAAAATTTCTAGTTCCTTTCTCTCTTAGTTCTTTCCTTTCTCCTTTCCTCGCCCCTCTTGTTTTGCTGTGAAATATCGACAGGTAGCTATGTGAGATTAAGTCTGCTCCTTTTTATTTCTCTTTTGTCAAGATACATGATTTATTTTTTATTGCTGTTTGAGACAAACTCTCACTGTGTAACTCAGGCTGGCTTTGAGCTCACATTGCTTTTCCTGCGTCAGCCTACCCAGTTCTGGGATTATAAACATGCACCAGTGCCTTGGTTACTTTTCTCTCTCTCGTTGCTGGGACAAATACCTGACACCCAGAATTAAGGAAGGAAAAGTATCTTTAGCTCACATTTTCAGTCCATACTCAGCTGGCTCCAAGGTAGAGTGGTACATGGCAGAGGGCAGCAGTTTGTGATGGTGGAAAATAGAAAAACAAGAGCAAAAAGGGAAAATCAGTGGCAGCGGAGACAGCAAGCCTGTCTCCCTTCCCCATACTGCATTCATGCTATCTGCCTCAGAGGGATGTACTCACACCCATAATCCCAGCACTGGATCATGAATTAATCACAAACTCTATAAGCTCACTCCATCATTGCATGAGACTTTGGGGGGACAACTAGACACAAACCATAACAACCACCTTACTCAGATTTCTTTTTAAAGTTACGATTGCTGAATTTTATCAAATGCTTTCTGCATCCATTGATACATTTTTCCTTTAATCTGTTAATGTGGTGACCTACTTTAATAGTTCTTTAGAACGTTAAACTATTCTGGCATTTTTGAGATAAAGCCTACTTGATTTGATATGCCATATTCATTGATTCTAAGATACATATTTTTCACACTTAACTTTTCTGTAATTAGAATATATTTTACAGAATGCGGCACCTTCTAATTTCTGTTGCCTAAATGTGGTCACTTTTCATCCTTTAGTGTTTTAGACAAAAAAACAATTTAAGGAAAGACTATGAGTCTTAGTTGTTTGAAAACATTGTGTTGTCATCTTCTGGTAAATTAAATAAAAACTGTGCATCTAAAATTTTAAGATATGTGTCAATGTCTTAGAAGAAAATATTGGAGATAATAATAGAGACTTCTGTGAAATGCCGCATTACGACCTCTCACTGGGAAGAATGGATATCAAAAATTCTGAACTGAATGATAATTTAGAAGAAGTGGACTCTGAATGTGAGGTTTTAAGGGTATCTTATCTTATTTATTTTGCTTATGTTCCTCTTGTTATGAATGCATAAGAATGATATATGATAAAACTCTGAATAGGTAAGTTTTAAAAGCTCCTTCAGTAAAGATAAAATGTACAAGTGATAAGGAATCAACAGTCATGGTTGAAGTGACAATATTTTTCTTTTTATTATAAAAGTAGTGGTACATTTAAAAATCACCAGTGTTTCAGATCTGAAGAAATATGATATTAACTTTGTGTCTCAGTTTCTTTTCTCTCATTGCTGGGACAAAATACCCAACACCCACAATGAAGGAAGGAAAGGTTTATTTATTTAGCTCCCTGTTTGTACAGGTTTCAGTCCATGTTCAGCTGGCTCCAAGGCAGAGCGGCACATGGAAGAGGGCAGCAGTTCATGGCAGTGGAAAGTAGCGAAGGGCAAAGGAAAAAGGGAGGAGCAGTGGCAGCAGCGGAAGAGGCAAGCCTCTCCCCTCCTCGTACTGCCTCAGGCTCTCTGCCCTGGGCTGGGTGCAGCACTCACACCCATAATCCCAGCAGTACTCATAATCCCAGCCTTGGGTCATGAATTAATCACAAACTCTAGAACTGAGCCCCAAATACTGCATGAGGCTTTTGGGGCACAACTAGACACAAATCGTAACACTTTGTATACGTTGCTGGATTCAATTCTAATATTTACTTAGGTTAGCA